AACTGATGATAATGGGAAAATTATGTCTCAACTTCATGCACAAATGGACATACTGACATATGAATTAAATGGTAAATGTATCTGGTCTGAATTATTTAATATTTGTCTTATCTTTTCATTGTATACTTATTCATTGTATGAAATCACCTAAATTACATCACAAAAATAAAATAAAATTCGGACCTCATGCAATAATATTGAAATATATATTTGGATGCACCGAAACTATAATTTGTATAAATCCGATTTGGCCATGGATTCGAATTTGGCAAAAAAAAAAAAAAAAGTTTGTGCGACTTTAGATACCGGTACTGTTCAGTACATTCGTGTAAAATTATTGTATGAAAAATACGCTGAATCAGAGCCGTACTTGGCCAGCGTTGGTGCGGAGGCGATCTTTTCGTTCATAACTATTCTCACGGGATTCCAATCATTCAACACGATATGGAATTACGGAATCATTCGAGTTACGGAAGGGAAGTTACGAATTACGTAAAGTCGTAATTATTGGTCGAGCGCGTTCGCGATTTAAACGAGCTCTCTTCAAAGCAGTCAATTCCGTCGATTGTAAAAAATTAAAAGTTTAAAAAGTAGAAGAAATTAGAGCTTCGGTATTCGCAGCAGTTTTTCTCACTTTTTCTCTCTCTTGCCAATATGTCACCGTGATAATTAATGTCGCGCTTATCAAACAGCAATACGATAATATCGGTCAGAGACCGAAGACTTATCGATCGAAAGTTAGGGGATCCCCCAAAACAGAAACTGCGGTTTCGATTCGAAAAATTCTGCAAACCCGAACTGGATTGTTTTGATTAGTTTTCAGCCAATATTTTCCACAATGCCTCGCAATATTTCGGCCAAATATGATTAACTGTCTTTACCAAATGCGGCAACTTATTTTGATTCTTGAAAACCACCGACACTTGACCAAATTTGTGTCAATCTTGGCCGATAGGATCGTCGACTTGAGTTAGAAAAAGAAGGTAATTTTTTCGTGAGTGCAAAATAAATGTCACAATATGCATTTTTTTGCGATATAACTTTTTGCGATGTATTTTCGGAAAAGCCATATCATATAAGTACGGTATTTAAATTATGCGCAAATAATTAATATTTGATCTAAATTTGTTGCAAATAATGTTACAACATTTAGGCCGCGAATGATTTAATGTAAAATGAAGCATGGTAATCGGAATAACGTCAATAAGTCGGCATCAATAATTATTATAAAATGTTAACTAGGTAGTAAAGTCGAATAATGTTAAAAACGGTGCAATAACAAGTCTCCGTCGCGAAGCAAGCGCAAGTATAATCAAACGAGAGAATGCGCTCGTCGTGGCATTGATAAATTGGAAACCCGACATTTTTTTTAATACGATTTAAAAAAAGTCAACTATCGTTTCATAAATATCCATATACCAGTGTCGGTAACGATAAAATTGATCGCATAAAATTGGGACGGTTAATTTGCGAAGGTGATAAAGGAAATCAAAGCTAGCACAAAAGATAAAAATCAGAATAAAATTAATTTGAATTCACTCTTGTCTTAACATCTGTCGCCGGCATGTAGTACTGCCAGGAATATGAAAACCCAAACTCGATGTCCCCATCGAAAATGAAGTGGATTCAATTGGTTGTTATGATAGGTTTAAATGTGTGAAAAAATATCGCAATTACGGGGTCATTACGTAATCAATTTGGCCGTATTTACGGAATTGATTTTTGTCAATTACGTGCAAGCCTAGTCAGTACCATACTGCCTTAATTAATGTTAAATATAGTTACTTATACTCAGCCTGTTAAATAATTTGGTATCCAATTTGGCGATCCACGCAAAATTATTAATATGGTGTGAATCCCTTAGGTCTTTTATTTTTGTTTGTGTATTTATCTTTTTACTGAGAAATATATCTTGTTTTTTTCCCTTTCCAATTTTATTTTGTCTGTGTGATTGTATGTTTGTGTGTGTTTTAATTAAGTTAATATTTTTGGGTGAATTTTGGGTGAGCCAACAGCCCAACAAGTACAACTTGTACATTTTGAACCTTACTTAAAGTTTTCTTCACTTTCCCTATTCAGTAATTCTGTAAACAGTTTTATTTATTTTGTTTCTATCAATTATTTTATCGCTTTTTATGCTGAGTCAATATATACTTATACTTCTGTCAGACTTGTAAGGATTAGGGATGGGACGAGTCCGGCATTACAGAGATTCGACGAATCCGAGTAATAGGTCAAGGACTCGAATCAGTCTTCCCAGTCCGTGACGTCACAATGGAAAAGCATAAAAACACGTTTTTGACCATGCTACAGCAACGTGCGCTCACAAACATTCGTCGTAGCTCGTATTTTTTACCTAATAGTTCCGCAGATAGCTGTTGAATCATTTTAGAAATATATTTTCCTCCTTTTTAGCGGCCACAATACAAACGTGAACGTGGGTCAATATGCGCCTTGGTTGTGAACTAGATTTCTAGCCCATCACCTTCCGTTAATTCTGGGCTGCTATTTAGCAATTCTTACATGTCAATATGAAAAATAAAATTTTTTTGACTGCAATGCTTCCCCATAATTTCAGATACTTCTAGCTGTAAACTTAGGCAGGGATGGCGAAGCTATTTCGACGAATGGGTCAAAAATTATATTTTTATCACGGAACAGAAGAGTGTGGGTGACAATAAGTTAATCAATGTTATTATCTATAAGGAACTTGCTGCTGCATCCTATCTTTCAAATCTTATAAGCTTCGGTTGGTGTTGTGTAGCTTCGGGCTTTATTTATGCAGCACTTCAACCAGAGACTACTGGACTGTTAATGACACTCGATTTTATGAAATTCGTGTACAAAAACACGCATATTATGAATTACCCAAAAACGTTTAGAATGATGCGGCAAATTATTTTGCGCGCCAAAGAGTTTGGAGGGAATTCCACTCTGATAGAGTTATATTTTTCGATTGGCTTTCAACCAGATTAAGGTACTTTCACACTGCCCCATTGTTGTTTCAGATTTCTAGGTCCTCATTTTGAGTCTAACAGATTTTGTTTCCTCCACGACATTGTAGGCGAGAAACTGATGAATGCAAAGTAGCATCTAGTTTTCGTATACCCTAAACTAAACAGTCTGCAGTGCCTTTTCAGTTCATCTGAATGAACGCTGTAACACAGTGGTTCTCAACCTTTTATTGACCGCGTACCACTTTTGTGTTTTTACCATGGCCGCATACCACCGACAAAACCGCTTTTGTGGCGGGGAACAATGGCACAAGAAACGCTCTATGGTAGTATTTTATGTGGCACTACATCCATTTTTAGAGCTTCGTGCACAGTTTCAACGTATTAATTATATGCAGTAACAACGTAATAATTGTGTGCAAAATCACAAGAGAATTTGCGTCGTTTATCGTCGGCTCTAATCATCGTCACCACTGAATTATCGCAAAACTCGGACAAATACACTTCGGTCGGCTCTAGCCGCTATGCGGAACTGCCTAACCTAGTCTTCAAATTATTTGGACTCAAAAGTCAAGATTATGCCGATCAGCCAACACATACATCAGTCAGTAATAGTAACATATTTATGATGTATCTAGGCTCTATCAGGGTATTCCGACACGCGTCGAGCACCCCTTCGAAGTCCGAATGCTCCCTTCGTTGCCAATTTCTCAATGGTGATGCATTGTGGACGTAACACGTAAAACGGTCGAAAATATGCCCGTCTCGTTTCTTTTTAGGTGGGCAGTAGCGGGCGAGAGCGCTCATTAAAGAGAAGGACTGGTAACGCTATAAACTATTCAGCGAATACATTCAGTAATGGAAGATAAATAGAAAGTGTGTCTGCCATATTTTAGCCACCTCAAAAGTCGGTTATTGCAATAATTCAAAGCGTACCACTTGAAAAGCCCCCGCGTACCACAGGTTGAGAACCACTGCTGTAACGAGACGTTGCGAGAAATGAACAGATCGAATTGATTGTTTTGTCATAAACGATATCACAGCCAATAGCTGCCTAAAGGTATACAAGGGTGAACATGTGCATCCAAGATTGGGAGTTCTGAAAATTACCACACCGATCCGGAAATTTGAATTTGAGCGTTCGCATGTCGGACTGCCCAACTGACGTTACATTATGTAGTTTACTTACTGTTAAATTTGTTTGAAGCCGGTTTTATCAATTTTTATCACTTACAAGTTAGTATGTTTTTATTTCATTCGTGCCTTGGCAGGTCACCGACAAAACGCGGTGGGTCTATTTGTGACCCGCGGGTCAGTGGTTCGCCATCCCTGTTATAAGGTATAAGCGATCAATAGTTTTCAACATGCGTTATATTATCTGGATATCTGTCGTCGTTTTTATTAAGAGTGTTTACCGGTATATTACATACGAGGAATATTGTTACAGATCTAACAACGAATTTTAATTAACCAGTTAGGGTATGTACTGAGATTTATAGAGGTAAAAGTACAAACATAGGCGCGAATTAGTAAAAACAGAATTGATTATAGACTCGGTAAAAATGACGTGGACTCAATCTAATCCGAGTCCAAAAAATGTGTGAATTCGACTCGAATCCGAGTCCGGATCTGAATCTCGGCCCATCCCTAGTAATGATGTGACTTTGAGGTCTGGAGGTCATCGAATTATTTACAACCGGTTGAAAAACTACTAAAATCAATACCCAATTCTGTAGTTAATGAAATTGTGGTAGAAAAAATAGACTAAATAGTACGGTAGGCTAAAATAGACTAAATAAAAACATAGGGGGTCAGGTTGGATGAATAGGAGGTTATCAATTTCATATGGAAAAAGAGTTTGTTTGACTTAACACTGTAACACATTGTACATATTATGATCATTATGAAATGAATGAATGAGCGAAATATTTTAAGAAATAACTCGTTGGTGGTGATGCGGCTATTAGCCCTAGTCTGATATTAACAATGTTTATGTATTACAGAAGGTTATTCAGTTGTCTATTCTATGAAATATTAATAGAAAATATGCAAGATACTTGTTGCAGAAGCGAAGACGACGTCATAGAGACATTAAAATTATCGAAGCTCAATCAGAGTGATTTGGCAAGACCTTCACAAACACTTTATTTTGCAAATGACTCTTCGGATCAATCATTTACTTTGATACAATTAAATAAGGATATTCTTGAACATATTACAAAGGGTGAAACACTTGTCATTCGTGGAGGTGAGGATGATTCTGCCACATTGTGTACTAGTGATTGTACTTATGATTTAAAAAAGGCAAGAACCTCGAATACTTTGCTCACATTATCTAAGTGCACTGTATCCGCGAAAAAGAAATCATCTGTTGCTTCTGACAGCAGTACAAGTGAAGAAGAACAGGAGAATATTGATGACAAGCCATTTCTACTTTATCGAAATATAATAGGCTGGTCACATGATTACTTAGAACTGAAACGCATTCATCCACAGCTGTTCAAGATCAAGCAACTTCTGGGTGAAACTCTATTCCAAGGTCCAGAAAAGGAAGAAGAGAATGTTGATAAAATGAAGTATACTTTAACTGATCTACTGAACATTGTTCAAGCAAGTGAAGGGGAGCTTACAAGTGCCTTGTTCAATATGGGATGTATTTGTATTGATGGATATTGGAGGTTATTAGATTTTGGATATATTGTTGACTGTCTTGGTGCAATTTGCAATGTCATCGATTCAGAATCGTGGGATATTTTCAAAGTTCCTTTTTCACAGCTTTGCGAAAAAATCAATGACTCTGGTGAACTAGTACCGGGGTACATAGTTCATCATTTAATGGCATTCTACGGAACAATGATTTTTATGCATGATAATAGTGAAAAGTATTTTAAATTAAAGGAAGAGAAAGTTTGTCGATTTTTTGCAGAAATGCTTTTACGAGATGTCGGAAAATTCAACCTAACTGAATTCTTGGAGGTTTGGGACCAGAGTCTTCCATATGGATTAAAATCAGATGAGAAATATCTTCAAGGACTTGCTATAATAGACAATACAGCAAATCCAACAACTATTCAATATTTTTCTGTTGAAACTTTGCCTCAAGATGCTGCTGCCCGATTTGACATCTTGTTTCAGACAAGACCAAAATGGACTCGAGATGAAATTGAACCTTACATTTTTGACTTATGTATTGAAGGGCAAACTGCCTCAGCCCTCCTTACTAGATTTGCTAGAAGTTCAATACAGGGTAAGTCTAAAGTTTTTTCTTCAAGAAAAACTTTAGTTACTGCTAGTTGAAAGGATATTCAACTTGGATTAATTTTTTCCAGGCACTTGCTAATTACTTACCGATCCCTGGGATCAGAAGCCTATTGATTTTGGATGAAATATGTCGTATAATTAGCGAGTTATTAATTAATTAGTGATGGGACACGCGGTGTCACTATAGAGTCATGAATCGAAACCGCAGTTTCGATCGATAAGTGTTCGGTCTCCGACCGATATTCACGTAATTACATTTATGATTTAATTGTGTGACAGGACATTGGTTAGCATTTGGGTTTGGGAAGGGGGTCTCTAAGATTTGCTTTGGTGATAATATGAAATGGTGCTGCGATTACGCTACTCTTTAAAAAAACTGATTTTCCAGCGTGTTGTGATTTTTCTGCTGCTAACATATTCAATCCATGACTGATGCGACCATTTAAAATGTCTCGCCATATTAATTTAATGTGTTCATCATAACTTGCCTTTGCGCCGAAATAAGAGCACTACTACTCTGTAATACTACTGCAATCTGCAGATATAAAATACCGGATAGATTGGATTCGGATTTTTACGATCTTGGGATTTGTTAACTTTAATTAAGGTATTCTTTCAGCACTGACTAGAACTCAATGAGATTATTGTTAGCATATCATCATTAGAAAAATCCCAATGTCTGCGTTAAAATGTCAAAGAGTACAAATCTCAATTGCGCAAAATATTCATAGGCAAATTGAAAATGTATTGATTTAATAATTGAATTGTGTTCCATGTAACCGGTTGTTCCCTGACTAAAAATATAAAGCATTTCTAGTCCAAATTATCGTGTCATAAAAATGTGTGGCAGTGTGTCTGATTATATTTTGTTTGGATTCTTATCAACGGTAAAACAGATTTGATAAATCAAAGCCGTTCTTGAAATACTATCTCCTCTCTATCGCAGTGACTCCTCTCGTATTCTTTGTTGAGAAATTACCATCAGAAAACCTCTATATCTGCGACAATATCCCAGAGTGAAATTTATTTTAGTACAGTAAAATTTGATTGATATACTTATCTACCGTAAATTCGTAATATATCATCACATATCGGGGAAAAGTTGTGTGAGGCCCCGTCTGTAGTTTTAGAATGAATGAGAAGGTACATGGTTCGAGCGATTGAATGTGTTTCGATTTCAGTGACTGCCTGACTGGTATAACATACTCAAAGTCAACATGACCTAATGTGATAATTAGATAATAGACAAATTTTTCGATTAACAATGTTTAAAAAGCGTTTTTTTTTAAGTTGTTGTGAGCCTCCTAAATAAAAATTTTCCTCCGTTTTATTATCTTTAGTATTTTACAATGCCACTTTTTAATCTAAAAAAATCTGGTTTGTGGATTTACTTTATTATCTTAATAAGCATCCTGTCACTGATGAATATTATACAATAATTCGTTTTTCACAATTATTTCACAATTCTCCATTCGAGAATAGAAAAGTAATCACCATCGGTTGACGGAAATTGGGATTTAGGTATAATAATAATATATACAGAAATGAAGGTGTTCAAGGCCCAAATAGCATGTCGCTATTTGTGATATCAACAAAATGCAACTGCACATGTTATTAGCAACATTTTCTTTCAAAAATTTCAAAAAAGGGGTTTCGAACACGAAAACCCCTCTGGCTGCGCCACTGGGTTTTCAGGCATAGGTATTTTTTTGGTAATAAATTCATCTATACTTAAATAAAATTTTGTTATATTCTGCACACCTTTATTGATTTTGTCCAGGTATAAATTTATTTGTTTTAATTTTTTCTTGTGCTTTTGCTCTGAAAATCGAAATAACCTTTGATAAATATTCAATTCCTGTCTTCCAAGTCTGGTTCCTGATAACTCGAACAAGAACTAGACAACTACTGTGGTTCACACTTTGAAAAATATTTTTATGTATAATTATTGAAAACAAAAAGTATATGGATGTTGATGTTGTTCATCACCATATTATATAATTATTATATAGCCTAATTATCATGGGGTGGTGATTCAACAAAATTTATAAAATTATTGTGAAATCATTGACATTTCACAGGATTATAAGTTTTTGACCATACATTTAATCCTAACGTAATGTGGCAAACAAAGCTTGCATACAGATTCTAGAATATGGGGTAATTCTGTATTAATCATACAGCCGCTTTACTCAACATTCCATAAGATTCTTAAGGTGGCTGTATATGGCAGAGTTCATGTTAACAACCCCAGCACCCAAAAGAGTCTGGCGATGCTTACCCCACTGAATCCCTTTTTTGATGTTGAACCCATATATCGACACAACAAGCCAATGAACATACTTCTCATTCTACAGAAATTCTTCAAATCTTATTCTAAATATCTACTTATGGTTACCTAAATGAGAAAGCAGTTGATTTGATATTCTGAATGATTTTCAAAGGGACTTTTCCAGTGATATATTTTACCTCTTGTATACATTTGGGGTTTTCTGTAGTCAGTTTGAAGTATTAAATTGTTTGAAACATATTTGATAAGTTTGTTCCTCCCTTGCGAGTTTTCTTGTAAAGGCCCAGGCATGAATATAATATACCATTGGCGTGCATTGACCTATTCATCTAGGCCTTTTTTCTTTTTTTTTCTCTCTCCTTTTCTCTCTCAAATCGTGACATATAATAAAGCCCAAGAAAAATTCCCTTCCAGTGTTATGGGGATTTTTCTAGGTTGTTGAGCTTACATAGAGGTCCAATTATAGACTTGTATATGTCTGTCAGTATAATGATATCTTGAGGATGAGGCCTTCATGAAAATATGGTGAATCACTTGACAGGGTGAATTGTATGTTACATTAGATGATGTAATATCGATCATATATATTTTATAGCATTAATTGAGATTTATTTATTTAAATGCTAGTTCTGTAGGCTGTGTAATCGGGTTTGATATACTATGTGGCTGACTAATATTTTAAAATATTTGAATTTGTATCTTAAAATTAATTCATTTGGTAAACTGTAGATGTTTAGTTTAAACCCGTTTGATTTTTGAATATTTGTGAAATAAATCTTTTACAGTACATAGCAATAGCAATACACAGTTTTAGCAATTTTTGGTGTGTTCGCAGGTTTTCAATAAGTGGTAGATAAATTTAAAAAATAATGAATTGAAGCAGGACAAGGAGTATCGTTTCTAATCTTTGAATGAATCTATCTGTTCTAACAAACACTTACTTTGCTGAAACAGCATTCTATAATACAATGCTAGATCAATATTAAATGTCCTATATTGTACAGTGGCTAATGAATTTCATTATATATCATGTTATATACTCAGTTGGAAAAGTTCACAAGCTCAGTTTTTCTGATCTTTGGATGTATTCAGTCTAATATTTTTGTATGTTTTTGTCGTATATTTTTTAGATAAATATGGCAGAACTTGGATATTATGTCGTTCCCAGTAGAGGAACTGGTGATGCTGGTAAACCCCTTATTTTATTGAGTGATAGGTACATCACTCACGCTGACCAATCAAGAGTTACTACAAGGTTGAAAAAAACAAATACAGTGCAATATTTTAAAGGTAAAACCAATTTGATTAGCCTATTTTGATTGTGCGTATTAGCTCTTTCGTTGGTTTATATGCTGGTAAACTATCGGTCATTTTGACTCTGACTCTATATTATATACTAGCTATATATGACTGACCGCTTATCAAGAGCCTTGTTTGAATATAAATTAGTTGTGTCACATTTTATCTGTCTTGTAATGGATATAGAATTTATGTCCCTAGTTTGTAGCATTCTTCCCATTGTTTTAAAGATTATTTAATAATTTTCTATTATCTCAGGAACTTTATTAAGGGAAGTTGAAACAACTAAAGATGTTTTGGAAAAAAATAAAATACTTTGTAGAAATCCTGAATCTGAAGTTTATTTCCAATGTAGCAAAAAAGATGTGAAAGAAATTTCGGAGGTATGAAAACCTAATGCAAAATACATCATGAGCAAAATACTGACTTATTAAACAAGTGGGATTTTCACAATGTAATATTTCTTGCATTCAATTTACATAAACATTAGTGGCATTACATAAACATTAGTTTCAGTGGCTTGTTTGTAACTTAGAAAATCAAATTATTTTGGTTTGATATTTTGGTTTTATTGATATTTGGGTGATGCAAGACTGGCTTTAACACAATTTGAAGTTTTTGTGGTTTTATTAAGAGTGTCTACGATCTACTTCTCGCAATACCAAACTGCAGAGACCGACTTGAAATTGCCAACAATGCACTGAGGCAAGCAGAGGGTTTGGAAATGGATGTTGGCACACAAGTGTTTGTAAAATTACCAAATCACACAGGAGAATATCATGGTTTGTGTTATTTATCTGATTTGAAATATTTAAATAAATGAGTATTCGAATATATCACCACAGGTTTTTGAATATTTTGTAATTCTGACAAGAAAAATCCAGAAATAAAATATGCCTCGATGGTGCTTTTTATTTTTATATTAATCTATTATATATTGATTATATATTAATCCAGTGTTTGGAAATACCTGAATGTAAATATTGTGTGTGACTTCTTTCAGGTATCATAAGATACAAAGGAGAGATTCATGACAAAGAGGGAATTCATTTTGGAATTGAACTTTACAATGCAGAAGGAAGAGGGAATACTAATGGGACATATGGGAAACAAAGGTAAGACTATCTCATGACTTTATAATAATTGTTTTCAGCTCACAATGAATAAGAATTAAATATGAGTGAGGTTAGTTTTATATTGTGGTTTTGACATTACAAAAGACAAGCTTAAAGCTTGTAATCCACCTCCTTGTGGTATATGAAGTGTGCCATACTTCATGTCATTGAAATACCACATCTGTCCCATTTTGTTACCTTTGTAATTATCTGGATTTTCAGATTATTGATTTTATGCTACTCCACCTGTATGTTGCTATTCATGGTATTTGAAGTACGAATTACCAACCGTATTAGTATGGAAATGCAAATAGGAGATAATCTCTTATTATTTATTAATTTTCATGGTGTTGATATTTGAAGGTAGTATTAATAAAACTTCGATTTTGGTTAGTAGATTTGATGAATTGGCATCTCTAGTAAGCAACTGCAATCTAATCTTAACTCATTATCCAGAGTGTAAAAAATTGTTAGAATAAAGCAAATGTTGAAAAAGATTTCATGTTGTCCACATTTATGTTCTCATGTCGCAACACTTTGGTACAGAGGTTTGATTGGGGTAATGATGTTAACACCACATAGATCGAGGTGGTCCAAATCCTGGACACATTCCGTGTGGCCCACAGAACAAATTTAGCAGACAGATATTTGTTCTCGTTGGGTTTTCCTAATACCTATGCCGAGAATGTTTTTTTTTAAATCACATAATTTTAAAGTTGTATCTATAACTGTCAAGGCAGTGCCGATATGTGGATAACGCCTATCTATTCGATTTTGCACCATAAACTCGCGTTAAGCAACTCTTTATCTGGAGAGACGTTTTGTTCTTTTATTTTAATAAAAACACACCTAAATTTGGGTCATGTGACAGCAGTGGCGGAACGCAGATCTGAATCAGCAACCAAAAGCAAAAAAAAATAAATTGTTTTATTTTGTTTGTGCTGATATTTTTCTTAAAATAAAAAAACTCCATCCATGAAACATAACAATAGGCTGATTAAAACGGTAAACTCTCATTCTTTAATATATTCAAAGTGGAAACTAATAACGCAGTATTTTGATCACTTTGGGGTTTTCCCGGCTGCTGCCCGCAAGGCTTACTAAAAAATTTCTGCGGCCCTTTAACCTTGTAACCTTGGACCACCGTTATTACACCCTTGGATATGATGATCGAAAATTTATCTATATAGGCAAACCTAAATATGATATGATATTTGAATATGGTTCTGATATTCTACTGTCATTTTTACAGTAAAGAAATCTTCGACTGCGACCATATGTCAAAGAGCAAATTGTTATATACAGTTTTCGGCATACGGGTGAAAATGTTTGACAAATCATGTTCTGTGTAAATAAAAACATTACTGATAGTAATTCAACATGAATTTGTATCCAAAAATTACAAGGGTTTTATCAAGTTTTGTCACTAATAAATCACCTATTTTGGAACGAGTTTGTAAAACACATTGAAACGCAAATACATAATTTCAAAATTTGCATTCTTCCACTCCTACCAATTTTTTACGCTTTACCGAAGAATGGGATGTGAGTGTGACCATTCCTTTATCGAAGCTATCGGCAATTTGACATTCTCATTAAAGTAATGTACAATATAGCATTATATATAGAATTATATAGAATGTTTCATGTACTTTGGTATGAGGAGGATTCTCATGCGACTCTGCTGGAATTAAATTAGTCTTTGTTCGTATTTCAATGAAATTTCAAGTTTACTCGCAAACTCAGTAGGATATTTGAAGTTTAAAATTTTTACAATATGTGTTTGATTCAAATTCAAATATGAAACTCAATCTTCATTCAATAGTAGCATTAATTTTGAAACAATTAATGATCTTATTTGTTCGATACTTCTGTACTTTGCATGCAGTACAAAACTGTCGGCCTGCGGACTGGTGGTTGTGAACCACTGATGTAATTCATAGGCTACCAGTTTTTCTTACTAAAATTTCATGTTCAACATATACATAAAGGAATTTCAGTACAATTTCATGAATATATTTTCTGCAGTCCAAGAACTATTAGGGAATAGGTTAGAAAAATTACAGAAATTCATTTCTATTAATAGGATGTGCGGGTAGGATTCAAATAATTATTGTTTTATCTAGATACTTCCATTGTGATAGTGATGCTGGAATCTTTCTGCCATTAAATCGAGTTCGACCACATCAAATAGAATCTGCCAGGAATCATTCTCATTCCTATTCACCTATTTCAACAAGAAGAAATAAACAAAGTAGATTATCTGGTACTGGTAAGATGATTGTAATTTTAGTGGTAAAACATGATCAAAGTCATAGTTCTGATCTTCTTTCACAACAAGGTGTATTAAACCATCCACATTGTGAGTTGAATGATAATAGAATTTCTTTTACAATTTCCTCAGCATGAAAAGGGGAACCTGCAACTAAGTTAAATAACTATTAATACAATAGTTCAAGATGCTTTGTTATTTGGAAACCACCTGGTAGGACTTTCATTGTTTCTATTCTGGATGTGACTGGGTATAATATTGAAAAAAATCGACTCTTGAAATATTAGAATGGCATTTAATTATTTGAATATCTCCTAACATGTAATCAGAGCCATTTGACTTCGAGACAACACTCTCGCTGAATCTAAACTTGAATTGCATTTTGTTTTAATTCAGTTTTGGAAATTTTGTAGATGAATTTGCATATTGCTATTTCATAAATAACTATATACAAATTCACCTACACGCTGCTAATTTGTTTTATTTTCTCATTAATAAGCTTCTAGCAGTCAAAGTCGAAATTCTGCTCCGGAAACTGCACCCTATGTTCGAGGCGTAACGAAGGAAGAACTCGACAGTCTGGGAATTCGCCATGGAATGGAGGTTTTTATTTTTACCGAAGTCCGAGGACAGGAAAGTCAGGAAAAAGGAAAAGTAAAGTTTATTGGTATGTATCGTCTACATAAAATTTTGTCCCATTGAAATTTGACTGGTAGATGGTTAGCCCAGGGATTGTCGAACCAGCGGGTCTTGTGTGGCTCTCTGAGCCTTCCAATCGTCCCTCGATCATCTATCAATAATTCTCATATTTTGTAAAGTATTTAAAGTAATGCATTTTCCGTTTATAGGTCTTGTTAAACTTTTCTAAAACAAGCTTTAAAAAAGAAATAAAAACTGTTACTGCTTTTCTTTTGACCCTAGTCATTAATAAACCTTATTAAGCTAGATAAAGGAAATCTTGACAATGCACTCCAATGACTAAAATGGAAAAGCAAGGTGCATGCAAAAATATGCTTAAATTTGAAGTATAAATTATGAAAATAGGTACCCTCGGAACAATTTCCCAACGTACAATGTATTTCTTGAAGCCTGCGAGTTTGACACCTCTAGCCATATATTCGAGCTATCTAATTGAATTTCATAAAAAAAATTCCAACTTCAAAGTGTTTTTAGTTGGTTTACATTTATGCTGAAGCAATATTGTTTTTTGTTTGTTTGTTGAACAATATAGTTTTATAATAATATTAGTATTAGTATCATATAACATAATAAATTTGACATTGGTCAGTATTCAGTAATATTTTATATTGTGTTTGTTCTAATCTTTGTTAGATTTCCTCAAATAATATTATAATACATAATAAGTAACATAATTTTTTTTTCTCAGGCCGACTACCAGGAGGCAACAGTGGCCAAGGAATCTATGTTGGAATAGATTTGGACAGAGATGTTGGAAATGGCACAGGATTATACAATGGAAAACACTTATTTTACACAAGACAAAATCATGCAGCACTCGTGCCTTTGAGTGGTGTTTTACCTGCTTATGTTGCTGATACTGCACCATCACCATCTAGAGATATATCTCATAAGGTGAGAATAGGTAATTGCATATTATAGAAGACAAAACTTTATTTGTTTTATATGGTTTTAATTTCAAGAGGTAACATTTTGACTCACTGTCACTGGTACCATAGAAAAATATTTTATAACTTTCATTTGCTAAATATATAGGCTCTAAGTAAAGTATTGTTGACCAGAGCTAGATGCCAAGCTGTTCTGTAATTTAGGATACAGATGCATTATCAAGAGAAACAGGAAGAAGGTCATCAAGGCATTCTTCTAGTAATCATCGAAGTCGAAATGATGTTACACCACAAATGCAAAAGACATTTGTCCAATCTAGTCGATTTGCACATTCTAGTCCAAGTGTTCTTGGAGGGAATGGCAGACTAGAAGCAATCGCTGTCCCAGAATTTGGGAGTAGTTATCCTCATTCTTCTCGACGAAGTCCAAGACATAGTCCTCGTGACTCTCCATTAAATCAAGATTTGTACGAGTCTGAATCTATTGATAGACATAATTATCAAACTTCAATAAAAGCTGGAACACAAGTAAAAAACCAGGTTCGATGGATGCCTTCAATATCATTGTTTTGTATCATTAACTAAGACACCGCGTTTCAAAATTTTATTACTGTTCAGAGAGTTGTGGCAACACCAAGACCTGCATTACATCGTGGACTTTCAGATAATAATTCAGATGAAGAAATGCCGGATTTGTATGGAAGTGATAATTCTATTGCTGTCACTCGTCTTTCAGACAGAAAGGTATGTTATTAACTTATAATATAATTTCAATGAACCATTCACTGTTTTACTCGTAATCCTTTTTGTTGATTTGATAATTCTACCTAATATACTATCTTATAGCATAATTTTAGAAAAAGGATCTAGATATCAATTAATTGCTAAAAGAAGTTTTGGATGTCTTTTTGAAAGATTTTTATTATCGGATATCAGGGGCGCATCAACGTTGGGGGGGGTTACATGGGGCGCCACTCCCCATTTGAGAAACATTTTTCATGCGAAAAATCTCCCACGAATAGGCAACAGCGTCGTTCTACGGTCGCACGTCATGGTTTTGTGGTCAAAGACATATTATTCTGTGCATTATCACCGTAGCGCAATTAACACCGCCAGGCGCCAGACTTTTTTTGTCCTTACGATAATATGTTATATTTTTTTGTTGGCTCTGATAATGATAAAAAAATGGTAGTTGTTGATTGCAATACGGTAGGGTGAATTTTCCATTCTCTTCATGAAACAGAAATGAAACGAATCTAACAGTCGTTATGGCCGCTCAAAGGGAGAGAAGGGTTATAAGCTAATTTAAGGACTTTCACTTCCCTTTAATTTTAATAGAAAGAATGGCGCATTAAAAAGCAAAATAGTTTTTATTAACATAAATTTACAACGAGTTACGTGGAAGAATTTAATTACGGCTATCGCTAACAGGCAGAAACGATGAATGTGAGAATTTGTTTTTTGTTTCCTTCTTGCGCCTATCATATTTTCAATTTCTAATTTTGCATAAATCGCGTCAACACCTTTTTTGTAAATTTAGAAATGTTGAACAAGATAAGCAAGGCATGTGAATAATGTATTCTATGGAAGTTTCCCGAGATATTGGGGAGAATTATTATCTTGACCACGTAGAAATGTCATTATTGCTGATTTATTCACATGTTTAGTATCTGTGTTTTAAACCAAAGCTGAGTTACGTGAATACTCAGCACTGAGTATTCAAAAGATTACCAATTTGCGGAGTTTTTAATTATTGTTGAATACAAATGTACGGGCACGATATAAAATTAAAAGCATAAAAATGTGAACTATCAGCTTCACAAATATCGCATCCCGGGGTTCGCAATGATAATATTGTTTGCTTTAAAATTGGGACTGTTATTTACAAACTGTGATACAAATCCTACACAGAAGATAAAAGTCTGAATAAAATTAATTTTTGTGGTGAATGCACTCCTTAATAGTTGTCTTTAACATCTTTGCGATGTAAACTCACAATTCTGCTAGAAAAATAAAAAACAATTTATATATCCGCCGGTGCGGGAGAATTATTAATATTAACTAATGAATAAAAAAGTGCTTTAGTGTAATTTACCAACATTAATTGGGCTGTCTGCCGACGAAACGATCACAATGACAAAAAAATTACTGTGGGCTTCGATTATAACAGATTTATAAAATAAAATACGCCACATTGTTAATTCTAATTAATTCCGAAAAAAAATACGATTTTGCTCACCACTAATCACGACGCATGTAAATAATCATTGAATGGCAATAAAAAACCAACTTGATTAGAATTAAATTCCAAGTAATAGTTACAACTCTCATGCATTCGATCGACGCTACATGCGAGTGTGTTTTTGTAAACGATTATGACGCTACTGACATCTTCGAGTAATAGTTCTCTTTGGAATTAATTTTTGCGATTTTATTTTATTTCTCAATTCGGGTACCCGCTGACTACGGATTAATTAATGGTCGATGTTTGAAATAGGACATGTGAAATATTCACCAAACACCGTCAGGCAAACAGAGGCGAGCTACAGGTAACTGTGGGATTTCTCTGTGAACGACGCATTCTTTTTAGTTTATTACACGCCTTACGTCGTCGTGAATTTCACGTTTGGTGCACTGTTTTCATTTCAACTAACCCCCTGTTGGAAAAATCCTGGCTGCGGCCCTGTCGGTAATATTTAGTTGTTCAAAAGATGTAATTATTAGTGAAAATTATTTTTTATCACTTTCAGGATGGTATCTTACGCCCATCAAGTCCTACAATGACAAACTTATATCGACCTGGAAGAGATCTCAACTCACTCCCTGGTAATTTATGCTTGTATATTTTTATCATATCATTAATATTAAATTAAAAAGTATATTGAAGTTGTTCAATAATTACACAATCTATCTAGATTCTAGATTATTAAAAGTTATTTATTCAAATATTATAGTTGTTTTAATAATTTCTTTTACTGATTTTCTTGACTTTAGGATTTCCTCCAACACCCATGCCCAACAGCTTGAAACCTAGATCAACTAAAACTGCACCAGGTGCAATGAGAACCAATGGATTGGCAGAGTTGGTAGATTACAACTCCATAAATCAAGGTATCATCCTATATTCTTACTCGTCATGTTTATTCCATATTGAGAAATATTGTAATCTTTTTCGGATCCTTTTCAGATGGATCAAATCTTGAGAATTACATTATGACATAATAATAGTTACTCTTATAAATTAATTTCATTTCTTTGCTACGTTTGCTTCATCATTTTGATTTAGCTTTATTATGTTGTTTGCAGAATATCTTAATACCGAAAATGCTGAACAAGGCATGGAAGTTGGTACTATGGTTGAAGTTACCAATGAAGTGCTGGGATCTGACCCTAAACCTGGGCCAACATATGGTGTTATAAAATGGATCGGTGAACTTCCAGACGTGAGATCAAGTTTATAATATTCAACAAAACAGATTAGTCTTTCAAACCAGGTTCACTTGACATAAAATTCAAGAATAAGTTATTATATTTTACTGCAAGAAGGGAATTTTTCTAATAGTAACCTAGTTGGATAGAGAAACATTTACTGAAGTGTTAGTACGTTTTGCTATGAAATTTCTAACTTCTATCACCACTTTTGAATTGTATTCATTATATATAAATCTCTCACTGCGTTAAAGTTGTATATTATGAAAAATTATTATTTTCTAATTATTCTTTTTCCACATAAATATTAAAGCATGAAAAAGAATTGGCTGTTGGAGTTGAGTTGGAACAACCACTACCTAATGGCACTGATGGTACTTTCAATGGTGTGCGATATTTTTCATGCGACTATGGACGAGGACATTTCGTATATTTAAAATTTTGTAAAAAGGATTCAAGGTTTTCCATACCAGGTAAGTTGTTGATTAGTTTGACCATATGGATTATTAACTTATTGTGATGAATTTTTTTACATTCAACAATTTGTTTTGAACCATAATTTTCTTGATTCATTGATTTTTGTAGTTATTTATAATTGAGAAGTTAAAGTCAGTTTTAAAAAAGGTCAAATATGAACACAAAAAGGAAACAATTGTTAGACATGAAATTTTTCTAGTATGTTTTTTCTTCTGTAAAATTGTACAATGCCGAATATGTTTCATGTCTAGATGCTGGAGCTACAGGTAGCTCTGCTATTTTACCTTCATCAGCTACTAGAGATTTTGGAAATTTTGATTCACCCCAAATACCGGGAGCTGTTTCACCACCAATAAAACTCGATCGTGACATGATTGGCAAGAAACGTGGAATACAGGGTCATCATAATTCATGTTATCTTGACAGCACTCTTTTTAGTTTATTTGCATATTCACAAGTATTGGACACAATATTGTTTCGAAGACGAAGACCGACTGACTTACCAGAATATGAAGAAGCACAAAAAGTGAGATGAATTTTTATAATCTTTATTTTTTATTAACATGAGTGTACTCCACTTACAAAGAATCCATCTTTCTTTGTATTTCATGATGGAAAAATTAATATCTGGGCATCTGCTGCTTTGCTGTTGAATTAATTTAACAGACGCATCCCATCAATTGCTGAATAAGACATTCTGCCTTAAGCTATAAGTTAAAGCTCTTTATGAAGATATATCTATTCTATTTTGTCTCAGAGGAGGTCCAGATACCAATAACTGGGTCGCACCTTTAACATAGGCTTCCTTGTAGTTGCAGTGATAATGAAAATAAGATGCATCCCCCAAAATAAGCCTTAGTGGTATTTTTCAAAAGAAAATTGAAATAACATCATGCCTTATTTTGGGGAAACCACTGTACAATTCCATTTGTTAAAAAGCATTGCAAAAGGATATGTAGTTGGTGGTTTTGCAGACTCCCGATCAATATAACTTGTTAGTTTTATATTTTAATTTCAGGTTTTGAAAGAATTAATTATCAATCCACTACGCATACACCATTTTGTTCGAGCTGACAGAATAATGCAGTTGCGTGAACTTTTAGATAAATTAGGATCTGTTTCTGGGCTTGTTAATGAAGAAAAAGATCCAGAAGAGTTTCTCAATACTCTATTGCTTCAGGTAGATTTTAATCCTTCAACTTTTGCTGTCACGTCTACTTCATTTAACATTATTGAAATTTTAATGATCAGCTTTCATGACTAGCAGTAATGTCCCTAAAGCATATTGATTCATGTGTTTTTTGACTGGAAAGCATGCTTTCGTCTATTCCAGGTTTTCAAAGCTGAACCTTTGCACGAGTTACGACAGGGCGATTCAAATGCAGCTCATGAAGGTTATTTTTATCAAATATTCATGGATAGAGATGAAAAAATGGGAATCCCAAGCACGCAGCAATTACTTGAAAAATCATTAATAAGTGCAGATCTGAAATTTCGAAATGTACCCGTTTGTTTGATTATACAAATGCCAAGGTTAGTATCATGGATTGGAAGTTTTTTAAGGTATCTTAAAAATTCACCATGTACTACGATACTCATACTTATTAATCGATTATGGCTTTTACTTGATTATCTGTTCACTACTGCTGTCTAGTCCCAGGTGTCATAAATTGAAAGACTTATCTGAACCTAGTAACCAATTGTTTTGGGCCATAATTATCTCAAGCTATATGATTGTTTTGAGCCTTATTTATGTCAAGCAATTTAAAAAAAAAACTGAATAAACAACTTTTTTATTTATTTTTATGATAGATTTGGTAAAGAATACAAAATGTTCAAAAAATTGCGACCAAGTTTGCAACTTGACATAACAAATCTTGTGGAAGATATTCCCAGAAGTTGTGATGTTTGTGAAGAATATGCCGAATACGAATGCCGGGATTGTTTCTTAAGTGGAAGTTTAGAAGTGAGTTCATAAATTGAAATTTATTTGTGAAGAATGCATGCAATAATACTTTTTTTAGTTCAAAACAATCTGATCATAAAATCACAGGCAACATGATGTAAAATCAAAGTGTTGTTCAAGATCATGTTCTTCTGATCTGTATTAGAGAGTATTAATAATTTCCAGCAAAAAATGAATAAAAATATCGAACAGCAATCATTTTGAACACAGCGCGGCAGTGTGGCTCATCATGCTAAGTGTTAGGAATACGCAGGTCGGTTACGGCTTCCTCCACCATCAAGTCCATGCTTCAAAAACAAATAACTAACTAATCTCATACCTGACATGAAATGTTAACTGGACGAGAGGCCGTGGTTCGCCTTATGGTTAAGCTTTTTTATCGCCTTTCCTCTCCCTGGGATAAATATGTGAATCCTATCCTATTCTAACAAATAATTATACCAAGAATGAAAAAAAAAGTTGTTGATCGATGGGAAGTTAAGCAACCGTAAAAAGCCAAATAAACTACAAGTTTTTTCACAAAGCATGTATCTGTTCCAATCTAAGTAATTTAACCATTTCTTAAAATTTCAGCCGCATAATGATTATTTGTTTATATATCCAGGATCCTGTTTTTTCATATTGTAAGTTATGTGCTGACAGACTGCATTCACATAGAAAACGTAAAAACCATTGCTTCAGGGCAATCAAAGTACCGGATCGATTTAGGTAATTTTTCATTTGTTTCGAAGGATAATTTGAGTTGCATCAGTTTGATATTTGTCTGCTCAATAAGGACTTTATCTTCCCTTGAAATCATTTTTTTTTTTTATTATTTTTAGAGAATATGCAACAGAAGCTATTAGAAATAATGAAGAACCAAGAGTTGATCGACAAACTTTAGAATTGTTTGCTGTTGTTTGCATTGCTACCAGTCATTATGTTTCATTTGCCAAGTTAGTAGCATTGTGAATGGGCAATCGTAATTATACATTTAACATAATTTATTAACTGTACTAAATATAAATTTGATTAATAAACTGATGTTTTTCAAAAACCAATTTTCTCAAAAATTTCTTGTATACTGTTTGTTTATAAATAAATGTTAAATTAAAATTAAAATATTTGTGTATACTTCCCTTTTTTTATTTGGAATTCGATTTATGTAACTGAATTGTTTTATTTTTTTGCTTTGAAATTTATTTTCGAAGGTAGCACACATACTTATAAACATCCAAAACTTATAATTTTAAATTTTACAGATGTGGAAGTGGAAAGAATGCTGAATGGGTTTTCTTTGACAGTATGGCCGATCGAGTAGGGGAACAAAGCGGGTATAATATTCCAGAAATTACACACTGCCCTGATTTTGTAGCTTGGCTTAGTCAGGATGAAAGGAGTATTCAAAGCGAAGATGAGAAACTTATGCCTGAGCTTAAACGACGCTTGCTCTGTGACGCATACATGTGTATGTATCAAAGCACGGATCTTATGTTCTATAAATAAATAAAGGAATAATGAGAATCCTGACTTAAGAGTCTTCATCAGATTTTGGTCAGAGTGGGGGAGATAAGTATTTTCGCTGAACATAGATATCACATTACATCGTTTTTTTTTTGTATTTAATTATGTTTCATTGTAATTACAACCTATTTATTTTGATTTTCTTAATATTTTAATGTGACATTGATTTTGTCAACCACAAAATTGAGCAATTTTTCTTTAATGAATGTAGCTTCTGTTAAATACTTTTGTGCAATACGGAATGATATGCTACTAGGGGGGCTAACCTGCTTTCGACCGTGATCGGCTAAAATCATCAAAATAGCCCGCCACCGACTGATCGGTAATGAGGTCATACACAAAAACGAATGAGTACTGAATATGCAGATATCTGCACACAAACGTACGAAAAATTCCGCCGCTGCCAATAAGATCGGTTCTTTGGGCGCATTCTTAATGAAATCGTTACAAAAATTTGTATTTTTTATGCTCGATTTAATTTGATGATGTAATTGTACCCGGAGTAAATGTTTCATCATTTATTTAAGATTTATTCAAATCATTCGTAAGTGTTGAAAATTCTTCAAATAACATTACCAGGTATCCATGTGTTATCTAAACAGCGAAAATAAATATTCCCAAACCATAAATGTTACATGAGTGCTCGGACTTCAGTATCTAATTTACAGTTTTCTTCGAGTCCGATTCTTCATTTGAAAGGATTTAGAAAAAATTGGGAATTCTGATTCCACTGCTATCGTTACGAATAAAATTCATTGCACCATTCTTGGAGCGAGACAATAACTTTCATATACTGCAGATATTCGGCAAGTTCATTTTCAAACCTTGGCAGCGGCGAAACTTGCATTTATTTCACAATAATATGCTTTATCGGTCTTGCCCAGATTGAATACTATATGTTTATATCATATTTTGCGCATGCACAGTACTGTATTATTACTGTTTTAAAACACACATCATGCGCTGTGGGGAACTGGTTGAAGACAATTTTTTTAGGGTATTATAATTCGCTCAACATCAGACACAATTGACTAACTCGAGACGTGGTGATCGACTACTAAAGACATGGCGGTGGATCGGCCACCCCTGATATACTACATGCGCTAAGGGGTATAATATAATGGTGAGCCCTGAATTTATAGTCATTACAATTTTGCTAAACGATAAACGAACTGTGGCTAAGACAAAAATCTACCTTGAAAGCAGTTTATTACTGTCTAGCATTAGTTGCCATCATGTGGGAAAAGTATAATAAGCCCGGAAGAAATGATTGAGGTCACTGTTTCCTTGTGGAGGTGTTTTCGATTTTTCAATGGCTTCTGTCGCCTATTACTATTCTGAAATATACAAGAAATTTCTGAAGGATACGAGAAATAATATATTATGGCTTATTTCAGTTTGATATATGAAATACTCGTTTTTGTTTGTATATCATGTGCATTTTGGACCGTATGTGACAGAATAATATGTTATTTTTTTTTAATCGGCACTTGCTTGGTGCTTTTGGTCAGGACATCCAATGTCCTTGGAGCACTGGAATAATTTGTTAGTTTATCATGTAATCCACAACATGCTGATTTATGTTTCTCGAATGAACGTTGCTCGTAATGTAGTTGGACAACCAGATAATTTTTATATCTGGTATGGCCGAAAAGGTGGCTGTCATAATGTATCTCACAAAGTATCATTAAAAATGTTTTCGGGGGAATACTATTATACTAATAAAGAATTGGCCTTGGTGAAATGATAGAAATAGTCCAGTTTTTGTTGTGATGATGTTTTATGATATGTGCGGTAGTAGTGCTAGTGTATATATATATATATACCATGCATTTTCCCCCCTAATTTATGCATGTGTCCCAGTTCCTTTGCCCATTTTAAGTTCCTTGAGCTTTGACATTTGTGCTGCTTTCGTTCTTATAAAAAAGTTATAATATTTTTCCTATTGAATTTATTCTCTTTGTCAACGTTTATCTGTAGAGGGAAAAGTCGCTAGAAACAAATTTCTGAAGACTACCGTTACTCGTTAGTGCAGAATGTTTCATATTGGGGTGACCATATTTGCAAACCCTAAATGGACACATCATTGGGTAGAACCATATTTACCCGTGCCTGTTATACATTATATATCTACTAAATCTCTAGGCCCAAATATAGACGTGACAGTAGACGAGGTGGTCTTGGATAGATTACTTTGTGTGATAGTCATACTGCATCCGAATACGGATAAAAGCGTTTTTTTTCACGGATTTTTGCTGAAATGACCTAGCCTACATTACGAACCAGCGCCATTTTGATTTGAGTTTTAATGAAGTGTACTGAATTCAAGATGTACCTTAACGGTCATTGACAGTAGACGAGGTGGTCTTGGATAGATTACTCTGTGTGATAGTCATACTGCATCCGAATGCGGATAAAAGCGTTTTTTTTCATGGATTCTTGCTGAAATGACATAGCCTACGTTACGAACCAGCGCCATTTTAATTTGAGTTTTAATGAAGTGTACTGAATTCAAGATATACCTTAACGGTCATTGACATGTCCAGTAAAAATGAATCTGCGCGAATTTACACCCGGCTTCGATCGAACCAAGGTTAAAAACACCTGGCCTAAAGGTATCTCATGTCTTAACATGATGAATTGTGTCATATGTGTAATGATAATTACATGTTTCTACTTTCTTTTTTCACACATCAAAAACTGTTGAATATAATATCATAATAGAATTAATTTTAAATATTTATATAAATGAATAAGGAGGATATTTTGACTTTTTAGGAGACAACAAAATTTTCTACGAAAGGGAGGACGTATGATCACCCTATTTATAATTTATATATTTCCCAATGAACCGCATTTGTTAAATAATTTTCACAAAAGTATGCATATGTTTCTTGGGCGGGTACAAAATGTCATGTCCCAGTCATAAGCCAATCAAAAAAATATCAGTAAGCAAAAAAGTAACAACTTAGTTAATCAATCAACAAATTTCGTGATTTGATTTCTGTATGCTTTTGTGGTCTTTGTCTTCGTATATTGTGAGCTAGGTTTGTGTAGTTCGGAAAGTGTGGATGGAAATCATTTCCTTGTTCAGTAAAGCGATCGCTTGGTTCCGAGGTTATGTCGGATTTGCTTGTTCGCCCTCGAATTATTTCGTAACAAGTTACTTTGTCGACTCGTGTGTAAAGATGCCAACAATGACTACTTACAAGTATTCGATTCTTATTCTATTCCTAAATTCTCGATTCCTCGACATATCTTACCGAGAAAACATACCCATCTAAGCAATACCATTTGGAATCAAACAAGAGAACGATGTTCAAATATATGGACGGACAAGACGGCCGAAACAAAGTAGTATGGGTATCCAATCTGTCACAGGAAAAAACGAATCCCTCATAACCCACAGAAATTTTGCAAATAAGTAAACGTAAAAGCCTTCTAGCGAATATTTATATAGTTAATTAAGTTTGCGGCATCGTAGCAACTCAATAGCAGTAAAGCAGTTTGTACATATATATATATATATATATATATGTGAAGAAATTGCCACAAAACGTTACACATTGTTTGCAGTCCAAGTTTTAACCTCGAGAATCGATTCCAATGTATCGGTATCGATTTCGAGAAGAATCGATTCTGTAATCGAATCCGGACTCTATTCCGCCATCCCTACTCGTGTGACGTCCGCTTCAATTTCGTACGTTAAGCCTCGGCGGGATCCAAAGATTTGATCTTGATAGTCCATTATTATGGAGATATAATATACGCCAACAAGCCCTGCGTTGGGGAGAACCTCGGAGAATTTGGAACTAGCGCACCATCGCCTGTGTTCGTGTTTCAAAAAGGTTTGTTTCAAAAGGAAAATGAATCTTATGGGAAACACCATGTGATTCCAATGAAGAACTATTATATAAGGCAAAATGAAGAATAGAAAACGGGCGCAGAGAATAACGATGATGATATCTTCAAAACTATTTTGGACGTTAAACCGGAACTCGTATATATTATATAGGAGAAGGTAATACCTAACGTGGACTCTATCCAATGAATTTAAATTCAAATACATTTACACAACAGGAGTCCTATTGCCAAAACAAATGGCTGAAAAACAAAAGCTATATGTGGAAAAAACATTCGGTGATATGTAATGTATGTTGACGAAACATCTGATGAACGAGATGCATGAAGAGAAAACAAATGGCGAATGAGCTGTAAGTGTGCAAAACATATGGTTACATGTATGTATGTAGACAAAGCATCTGTTGAATTAGCTGTATGATATATGGGATTAATGTGAACAAAACATCTAATAAATGAGATGTAGATGTACAAGACTCACATGAAGAATGGGATCTAGGTGGACAAAATCCCTAATGCTGTGGTTCGTTAAACTTCCTTTCGTTAAACCCCCTCGTTCAATTTCTCCCTTCTTAAACTTTGGAACTTTCGATTTATGCTTCACTATACATAAAACTACTTTCATTTATTAAAACTTTAGATCCTTACCTAGTGTTATGCGCAAGTTGCAAAACCGTTATTGTACAGTTCAAGTATTTTCTAGTGTGGGCATATCTATTTTAGTAATAATATAGAACGCAAGAAAATCAGTAATACAACAGTAAATACAAAGCAAAATTCTTCCCCGAGAACGACAAACGTGACCCAGCATGCATATCAGTTTATCAGATATTTTTGGAGAAAGCACGTGGTGAAAGTGTCTATGTTTACATATATATAATATATATAGTAGGCCTATAGGCTCAATCTTTGAACAAACGATTGAGATAGTTCGTATATTTTTGTTAGAAAGTCACATTTGTAAATAGATAATTACATCAAAAACATGACTTAATGTCTTTGCAGCGAATCCGCCAAAAATACATTGCCAAAAAATGCATATATATATAATATGATTATGATGATATAGATATATTATGATTATGTTTATGAAGTAATTCTTCAATTAGGTTACTCATGGCTCAAAAATAAAATACTAATAAAGCGTAGCTCAATTTTGCGAACAAGTTGAATACAATAAGTGTACATAAATGAATTAGAAATTAGGGCACGTTTGTAAATGTAGCGCATAGCCGCTTTTACATATCGTATGTCTGTTTCTGTGGAAAAATAGACAAATGCTTTTATACACATCTAACAGAAAGTTGAAATCTGTGATTTGTATGACTTGAGCCACCAATACAATACAACGAGTAAATTATTTGAATCGGTTCAGAAAAAAAAAATTCGAATTGCCGCAATCTTGTCAATTTTTTTTTATTGTAGCCATATTTCTTCAATGCAATTGTGACATATGACCATTTTTTCTGCAGTGAGTTATTGATAAACAAGTGTTTTGTTATTGAATAAAGTTTACAGCTTGTTGCATTTTATCCTGCCACAACCAATGGTGCAATCATTCTTTCGGTGGTTGATACTCACTTGATAAAGCATGACCTTCAAATTTAACCCGAAAAATCAACATACGCTCAACAGTAAGGCAACGAATTGACTTTATATCCATTAATAATGGTTACATTTTCTACAAATTTGCACAAAGGTTGAGAACCACTGCTCTAATGCATGTATTTATCTCCATTCAAATTCTTGAGATTTTTTTTCCAGAAATCGCATTTATAATAGTTTATAATAGTCTTCACAAACCTAAAAAAATTCTATATATATCTTCAAGTAATGTTTTTCTCAAGGGCATGAAATTTATCAAAATTTGTCGTCCGATAAAACCAACTTGTGATTCTGCTAATATGTCGAAATGCAACCAGCTAAATATATTTAGAGTATATTACGGACCATAAACCGCAGACTTTCGCTATATTTCTACACTCTCCGCCCATGGGTCAACAACACGTGACAAATTTCATTCTTATATATTTTCTTCTACTTATTGCGATCATAACTCCTATTTACTTGGAGCGAAATGCAATATAAAAAATGAAACACCTGTCGCAATTTTAAGAATGAAATGTTAACACCGCAACCCGGCAGACCGGAATAGCAAAAACAACTCTTTAATAGAATGAATGAGGCATATATTGAAAATCTGATTAATGATGGTATTGACAGCTTTGAAGCAAAGGGCGGCGACATTGTTGAATTGATCTGAAAGGTAGAGGCTTCGGCTGAGATATCAGAATATATGAAGGACAGAAATCTTGGCATATCAGCTAACCAAGAATAATGTTGCAATGGGGGCAACGAAACAAAAAAAAGTCTTATCAAAACATCGCAGTTGTCGTCCAAAAGTACCTCTGTGTCCCATCAAGATCCGCTGCATCAAAAAGAGCGTTTAGCTCAGCGGGGTTCACCGTATTTTTTGTGTGCGACTTTGTCTATTGTGACATATCATATATCCATGTTACTCAGTTTTGGTCTTCGTGTTCATAATATATTTGAACATCGCTCTCTTGTTAGATTTCATATGGTATTATTCAAGTGGGTATGTTTTCTCTAATAAGCTATGTCGAGGAATTGAGAATCGGAATCGAAAATTTAGAAATCGGATAAGAATCGAATACGTGTAGGTAGTCATATTTATCATCCCTAATCCCTACAAGCGGACAGTGGCCGTACAGAGCGACGCAAGCAATGAGATGAAATTGGTTTTGGAGGGTTCAAACTGAAATTTCGCCATCTCAGTCTCATTCTGTTTTCTACTTTAGCCTTTCCAATAGGACAAACCACTTTTAGCTTTAATCCATTGTGAAATATTTACAACGTTGGCGAGTTTTGGTGAAGGCAGTGAACAGTTAAGTGATTGAAAAAATTGCACCATCGTTATTTGTTCTTCTTGAACAGCATTTAAAACCCGTATTTGAAGTTTATGACCATTTTAACAAAGAACTGTCATCGTCGAGAATGGAAGTTTCAGAACTCATTTTCAATTAGGCATAATCCAGAAGTAAAACAATGAATTTATTTCAGATTTATTA